CTACACAGTATTAGTAAAAACTAACACGACTGAGGGATTAATGCTACAATTAGATTTACTGATAGATAGGAGAAAGTCTGAAAAGAGGAAATCAGCATGGTGACGCAAGTACATGACAGGCACATGGGATCAAAATATCTTGATGTGAGAACCACTTTTATAAGAAAAATGTCTAATTTTATCATGAGGGTGATATACAAACTATTTTTAAAATGTTCATTCTCTTCAGGTAACACTTAACCATACCTTCCAGATTGGCAAAAGGAAAGAAAATTAAAGTATTAGAAGATTAATCTGCAGTCCTTATTTGCATACTGTTTTACAGCAGAACAACCTGAATTTACAAACAGAACTCTGCCCCGAGCATCTGCCCAATACATATTTGCTCAGGGTAAGGGAAAGCATTATTATTTAGTTTTTGCAGCTCCTGAACACATACTAGGCACTCAATGGAACAAGGACTAGGGGTAAAATTTTCAACTGAGTAATTAATTTAGGAGTCTAGGTCCCTTTTTCAAGGGTGACTTTTAGGCTTATAGTCTAGTTTTACTGAAAGTCAATGGAACTTAACTCCTAAATCACAGGCACACTTTGAAAATGGGATTTAAGACTCCTAAATCACTTACATATTTTGAAAATCTTATCCCTGTTGCCTTGTAAACTTTATAGTCTAATCTGAAAATGAGATGAGTGAAGATAAAAATTTAGAGGGGCTTGGGTAAGAAAAAGATAAAAGGATGACAGTAATCATCGGACAAACTCATTTAAGTCACATGCACATCTCAGTTATGGCACTTTGGCTCTGGAGGGTGCACAGAGCAGGATGAATATGTGGGCTTCTTTTAACAACTAGGTCAGTCTAAGTTTCCACATTTATGGCAATGCAGCTTCTACTAAATCAATTTGATATGCAAATCCCTCTCCACAAACACAGGACACTTCTCTCTCTCTCTATATATATAAACAAACTTTCAAATGCACTGTTTCCTCCTTTCCACACTGGGACACCTTACTAGGAAGTGGTGAAGCTGAAATACGTCGGAATGAAAATTTGTGTGTGTGTTTTGCATGAATAAAGCTAGGGAACTACTCCACAATAAGCTAGAATCCCTCAATACTGAACCTCACATCAGAGAGCACTGTACGTCACTGGTTACAGCCCAGGCTACCTCTGCTTCCTGTAGGGTGGCCCGCCAGCCCGGAGACTCTCCCCTCAGTGGTTATTGCATAAACTAGTGCTGGGCTGTATAAAAGTGTGAAGTGATTGAAATAAAACCAAGCCGATCAGGCAGCAAATGATCAGATGGTAAGAGCCAGGGCTGCTGCTTGGACAAGTCTGAGGAAGGTAATAGTCTAGTAAAGGCTCTTCGTGACCCCCGGAGGAGGTGGGGTTTCTGTGCCCCACCCACTCCAATGCTCTCATCCCCCCCAGGGCTATGCCCCCCCCCCACCCCCCCCCCCCCTGCCCTCCACCCCCCCCCCCCCCGAGGCCATGTTTCCCCCCACCATCCTCTCTTACCCCCACCTTCCTTCCTCAGGGGCCAAACCCGCCCATGCTTTCTCTCCTCCCCGCCCCCATGCCCCCAGCACAGCCCCGCGCGCGCGCTCTCACCCCCACACCTGGAGACCAATTACTTCGCCCCTCCCCCGCCCCACACATCCACCTCTCCCGGCTCGTTTCCTCTCCCCCCCTATACCTCCCTCGCCTGGGGGGGCCATACCCCCTCTCTCGTCCCCTCCCCCCAAGACCCACTCCCCCCGCGCGCTCTCTCTCGGCCGCCCCTCAGACCTTCCCCCTCCCGCCATCGGGCCCTATTGCCGACACCAGGCCAGGGTCCCGGGAGGCCAGTCGCCGGTCCCCAGCCCCGCCCCCTATCCCGGCCCAACGGCCGCGGCCCCGGAGAGGGGCCCGGGCCCGGCCCCGCGCCCACCTTTGATCACGTTGCTGTAGATGGTGGCGCGGAACTCCTCGCGGGCCGCCCGGTCCCAGTCCTGCCCGTGGATGATCCGCATCTGCTTGAGGAAGGTGGACTTGCCGCTCTCGCCCGCGCCCAGCAGCAGGATCTTGACGAGGCGCTTCACGTAGGTCTTCTCGCGGTTCAGGCACTTGTCGATCTCCTTGGACTTGCGCTGCTGCTCGGCCTCGGTGCTGGTCAGCAGGCAGCCGGGGAAGCAGCCCGACAGCGCGGAGCGGGACGGCAGGAAGTCCGCCATCTTAGCGAGCACTGCCAGGGAGCGGCCGCCCCGCGCCGCAGCTGCAGCCCAACGGCCCCCTCGGCGCGGACGCCTGCACATGCGCCTCGCAGGCCGCGGCTGCCGCCGCCCGGAAAGAGACACGTGACCGCGGGGGCGGGGCTCCGCTCACGCCCGCCACGTGACGGTGCGGCCCTATCCGCCGCCGCCTGCCCGTCGTCACATGATTGCCCTTCCCCTCCGCGACCCAGCCCCATCACGTGACAGCGTTGCCGCCTATTGGGTCTCGGCGCTGTGTACTTGGGCGGGACTGAGCGAGGCGTGGCGGTGCCGGAGCTCATGGGAGGACGTCGCGAGAGCCCGGGTATTTCGGGGCGACTCCGCCTTAACCAGCGTCCCGCCTCTGTCTGCGCATGCGTACTCCCCGCGCGCGTGCAACGGGACAGCCCGTGCCTACGTCCCGCAGCACGAGCAGGGTACGCGCCGAGCAGGCCCGCAGACAAGCAGGCCTGCGAAGCGTGTGTACTCAGTGCACCTGTGTGCCACCCACACAGCCCTCACCGCGTTCGCAAACACACCCGTCTGTGTACGCACATGCACACACGTGCTTGTACACATGTGTGCACACAGGGACATTCGTGCATGTGCAGGTGTGCCCAGGGCTGATGAGAGAGGGGGGAACGAGGGGACACTTGTACCAACAGCAGAGCTTGTGGGCAGGGTTGCCCGGGGGCAAGTGGGTTAATTGGCCCCAGGCCCTGCAGGGGCCCCCGCGAGAATATAGTATTCTGTAGTATTGCAACTTTTTTTATGGAAGGGATCCGCGAAATTGCTTTGCCGCAGGCCCCCTGAATCCTCTGGGCAGCCCTGCTCATGGGGGCTTCCGCACTGTCTGTAACTGGGATGAAATGGGAGGGGTGTGGCTCCTGTGAGACCGAGCCCTACATTTCTCTCCCAAGGCCTGGCTGCACACTCACCCTTCTCTTGTTTTACCAGATTCTGCTGCCCTTTCATGTTAACTTTGCTGCCCTAGTAATAGTATCATTTGGGGCTTGGAAAGACTCAAAAATTGACTTTTTGTGGGGTGGGGCAGTTGCTAATGTTTTGATCCAAATAGAGACAAGTCATTGGAAAAATGGCATCATGTGGCTCCATTTTTTTTTCCTGTTTACTTTTGTTTTTTGGTGTCTCTATGATTCCATATTATACAGCTTCAATTTACAAGTAAGATATTTTTTCTAACATCCACTACTGCAAACTCAGCCTGGGATCAGAATGTCAAAATGGGTTCTGTCCACACATTTCAGTAATAATAAATATTCTGCAAATACATCTTATTTGGCAATTCTGTTGAAGTTACATAGCCAGACCAAAATGCATACCAGTCCCCCTTTAGTGGTTCAGATCTAACACATCTCATAGGACTAAACATGAATTAACTTAGTTTACTCAATAAAGTAAGTAGATTAGCACAGAGACAGCAGATCTGTGGAGTAAGAGGCTGCCGTTTTTACAGTCACTTTTCGGATCATAACTACTACAATAAAATAAGTGGCCAGATTTTCTGTTGCAGCTGAGATCCAGTTGATGCAGCAGAAGAAAGGCTACCAGGGAGCAAGTCACTTTGCTCAGCTTTCCCTTCCTCCAAGTCTGGTCTTGCTAAAGGTTAGAGTAGGGGTCGGCAACCTTTCAGAAGTGGTGTGCCAAGTCTTCATTTATTCACTCTAATTTAAGGTTTCGTGTGCCAGTAATATATTTTAATGTTTTTAGAAGGTCTCTTTCTATAAGTCTATAATATATAACTAAACTATTGTTGTATGTAAAGTAAATAGGTTTTTAAAATGTTTAAGAAGCTTCATTTAAAATAAAATTAAAATGCAGAGCTCCCTGGACCAGTGGCCAGGACGCAGGCAGTGTGAGTGCCACTGAAAATCAGCTCATGTGCTGCCTTTGGCATGCGTGCCATAGGTTGCCTACCCCTGGGTTAGAGCATCTCGGGTGAGACTGTCCACCAGCTCAGGATAATCATAGCAAAACATGCTCTGACCTTTCTTACACATGAAGGAAATGATGTAGGAGCCACTACATCAACTCTATTCCTGCTGGGGAGATACAATTAGTCACTCTCCCAGGCCAGAGCAAAGGGAACATAATTGTCCAGGGAATCTTGCACAGTGTGTTTGCGTAGGCATAGTGGAGCAGGTGGTGTCACTCATGAATAGGGAATTAATTAAGGAATGAGGATAATTAGAAGCAGAAGAGTACAGGGGTGCTGGAAAAATGTGTATAGCAGGGGTGCTGAGAGCCATTGAACCAAACTGTAAACCCGGTATATGAGGGAAACCACTTCAAGCCAGGGGGTGCACCAGAATCCCTAGTTCCAGCACCTATGGAAATGTGTACATCAAACTGATGATGGAACAATTCAGGAGTTTATTTGTATCTGTAAATGCAAATCTCTCGAGCATTTAAACACAATATGCAGGGCAGCTCTTCGTCTGTGATGGTTTGAAGGAGCATGATTTTAAAACACTGTGGGCCAAATTCAGCTTTGTCCACAATATTCCAGGATGTTGTCAGTCTGTGACACTCACTTTGATAAAAGAAGAGGGGCAATATCATGATTAGAAGGCTTTGGAGGCTTTCCTGACAGTTGGGAAGTGGACAGCTGGAAATGTGGAGTGACTGACAGTTGGGACTGGGAATGTCAGTAGGGTCTGGGGAGCTGAGAGTGACTGCTGGAAATGGACAATTGGATGGTAACAGTCAGAACTGGACAGCTGGGAGTGGGCAGCTGGAGAGAGAAGGAGCCTGAAAGAAGTGTCGTTTCAGCAGTTTGACCCTCTGGAGCAGGACAGGAAGTCGGGGAACAGGCAGTGAGGAACAGCCAATAGGCTGCAGGACTAACTGTGTGAGAAGAACACAGGGTGAGGGATGGGAAAGTGAAGTGATGCAAAGTGAGAGAGGAAGGAAAATGATGAAACAAACAGAACCATGGAGAACTAGACAGAGAGTGAAACAGTCTGTGAGATCCCGCTGGAAGGGTAGTGCAGAGGCCTGGTTCTTCTCTCTGACGGAATTGGGGAGCAGGGTTGAATTGCTTGTTTTATTGTTCAAACAACTATTTCTATTTCCCCTCTGAGTAAATTCTCATCTATGAGATGGTAATTCATTCTGGCGAGGGGAAAATCAGATGGGAGGATAATATTGATGTTACATGTGCAGGGGATACGCGGTGGCAGTTATGACTTTCAGAACTGGGGACTCTGGCTCAACCATCTTCGTTTAAAAATGAACGCAAGATTTTTAAGTGCGGGTCAGTAGCTTGCCTGACAGACAGTAAGGGCTGAATCCTCCAAAGATTTAAATGGAAGTTAGGAGCCTCAGTAGAAGTTAGAAGCCTAACTTCTTTTGATCATAGTGCCTTATACTCGTTTCCCTTTCACCAGAATGGGTTTTTTGTTATCTTGTTCTGCTGGACAACCGTGACTTTCCTCGCCTTCTTCTACCCCTTTCTTGTCTCTCTGTGCTGTTTACCAGCGGGCTCAAAGGGAGCACTCAGAAAAGTAGGCCCCCAAAATTCATGGCTCTTTGGACAATGTTTACCGACATTTACCAATAAAATCTAATCCTTAGTACTTACGGAATCTAACCCTGATAAACTCACTGCAAGACTTCCAGACAAACCATACCCAGTATTCTGGAATGTGAACTTTGATACTTTTAAGTATTGATTTAAAGGAAATAGATTTTCCAATAAACTGCCAAAGTTTCCCCACATGAAAACTCAGTCACAATTTCCACAACCATTTCTCCCCCTCCCCGCCCCCCCCAAACCTAAAATATTCTCAAGAGAACAAAAGGCAGAAAAGTATTGAAAGAGGAAAAAGTGCTGGATGCCCAAGTTAGGGATTAGGGGATGGGGAAAGGATAGAGAAAAGGAATGGCTTAAACTGCAGCAAGGGAGGTCTAGGTTGGATATTAGGAAAAAGTTCCTAACTGTCAGGGTGGTTAAACACTGGAATAAATTGCCTAGGGAGGTTGTGGAATCTCCATCTCTGGAGATATTTAAGAGTAGGTTAGATAAATGTCTATCAGGGATGGTCTAGACAGTATTTGGTCCTGCCATGCGGGCAGGGGACTGGACTCGATGACCTCTCGAGGTCCCTTCCAGTCCTAGAATCTATGAATCTATGAATCTATAATCAGTGAGTGGGTTTCTGTAAAATGACCTGTATATGACCATGTCTGAGTGATGTGAGGTGTGTATGGGTGTGTACTTGCATGTGTCTGAGTTAGATGACCCATGCACCTGTGTTTGTCTTACTGTGATGTGAGTTTTGTATGTGTGTGTGTGCCTTTAAAGAATATGACTGATCCAAAAATGACAAGTAACTGTAAAAATGGCACCATGTAGCTCAGTTTTTGTTTTGTTTGTGTGTGATTGACCTGTGTGTGCATGCATTTTAACAATATTACTTTTGTGTGTGTGTTTGAGCAATACGACCCAAAATATGCCACTAGTGAAACTGTAAGAAAAAGATGACTGACCTTTTTGCCCTTTAACCTTTTGGGCCAGATCATCAGCTGGTGTAAAGCTGTTATACCTCCATCTAAGTCAATTGAGTAGTAGCAATTACCCGAGGAACTGGCCGTATGTTGGTAGGTTAGCTTAAATTCCCATTGTGATGCACAGATGATCAACGAAAATGACCATGACCAAAGCTGAGGCAGATCAAATATGTGATTGCAAACTCTGCACTCCCTTGAGCCTATACTAACCACTCCACCTAGCAGTTGTAGAGTTTCCATCCATAAATGGGGACCATTCCTGTAATATGAGCTAATAACCAAGTCTTAAAGATGTTAAAGCCCTTTCTCCATTTTTGATAAAATGCTAATAAAGAACGAAACGTTCCATTTCCTCTTTGTTTCCCTCCCATCCCCATCCTTGTGTAAACATCACAGCAGAAGCCGGAACCTCCTCGGATTCCTCATTCTAGTGTCATGTTCCCAAAACTCCTATCTGTTGTTGCACTTCAGAGGAGAGTACATGATAAATACATTCCAAGGTTTTACTT